ACCAACCCCGCCATTTTTTTTCTTTTTTTTATTGAGCGAGCGTCTGGGCTCTGTTGCCCAGGCTGGAGTGCCAGTGGCCGGATCTCAGGCACTCACTGCAAGCACACGCCTCCAGGTCACGCCCATTCTCCTGTCTCGGGCCTCCCGAGTAGCTTGCGCGAGTACAGGCCGCCCGCCCGTCGCATAGGCTAATTTTTTTTTGTATTTTAGTAGAGACGGTGGCGTTTCACGTGTTATCAGATGGTCTCGATCTCGTCGACTCGTGATCCGCCCGTCTCGCGCCTCCCAAAGTTTCTGGGAATTACAGCTTGAGCCCCGCCGCCGCGCCCATTTTTTTTTTTTTTTTTTTTTTTTTAATTGGCTGCCCGCTGGTAGCATACCTATTAGTTCCACGTTACATCACAGGCCTGAGGTGGGAGATCGTGGTGGCCTGGGCCCAGGTCTCAGGCTTCAATGAGCCGAAAAGTCACCATGACAACACTTTCTGGCCTGGGTGACAGCCGCATCCTGCTCTCAGAACACAAAACAGACTGGGTGCAGTTGGCTGCTCACACCTGTAATCCCAGCACTTTGGGAGGCCGAAGCAGGCGGATCACGAGGTCAGAAGATTGAGACCATCATGGCTAACATGGTGAAACCCTGTCTCTACTAAAGATACAAAAATTAGCTAGGCATGGTGGTACATGCCGGTAATCCCAGCTACTAGGGAGGCTGAGGTGGGAGAATCGCTTGAACGTGGGAGGTGGGGATTGCAGTGACCTAAGACTGTGCCACTGCACTCCGGCCTGGGTGACAGAATGAGACTCTGTCTCAAACAAAACAAAACAAAAACAGCACCAAAGAAAGAACATCTGAAAAGCTTCCATCTCAACCTGCCTCAAATCACTGGTGGGCTTATCTGGGCCTTCTAGGTCCTTTTGGAGAGAATGCAGCTTGTTCCAAACATTAATGCGCAGATATGCTTTTTTTTTTTTTTTTTTTTGAGACATGGTCTTGCTCTGTCGCCCATGCTGGAGCCTACGTAAACCTCCAGAAAAGCTGGGACTGCAGCCATACTCCACCCTGCCCGTCAAGATTTTTGTTTGGTTACCTTTATTTTTTCTTATCTTCCCCCATGCGGCCCAGCCAATTTTTTTTTTTTTTTTTTTTGAGACAGAGTTTCACTCTTGTTACCCTATGTTTTCCAGGCTGGTCAAGATCCTCCTGACTCGGCCTTCCAAAGCACTAGGATTACACGTATGAGCCCCTGTGCCCAGTCACATCATGTATTTTACATATTAGAATAAATCGGACAAGTATGGTGGCTCACACCTTGAGGGGCCGCAGCAGGCAGATCACTTGAACCCAGGACTACAAGACCACAACATGGTGAAACCTCGTCTCTACAAAAAATACAAAAATTAGTTTGGCATCATGGCATGTGCCTGGAATCTGAGCTACTCAGGAGACTAAGGTGGGAGAATCGCTTGAACCCAGGGGGCCGAGGTTGCAGTGAGCTGAGATCGCACCACTGCACTCCAGCTTGGGTAACAGAGTGAGATTCTTTCTCAAAAAAATCTTAAGAACATAAAAATAGGCCATGTGCGGTGGCTCACACCTGTAATCCCAGCACTTTGGGAGGCCGAAGCAGGCGGATCACGAGGTCAGAAGATTGAGACCATCATGGCTAACATGGTGAAACCCTGTCTCTACTAAAAATACAAAACATGAGCCAGGCATGGTGGCACGCGCCTGTAGTCCCAGCTACTAGGGAGGCTGAGGTAGGAGAATCACTTGAACCTGGGAGGCGGAGGTTGCAGTGAGCTAAGATTGCACCAATGCACTGCAACCTGGGTGACAGACCGAGACTCTGTCTCAAGAAAGAAAATTTAAAAAAAATTTTAAATTAAACATATAACTAAAAAAACGTCAGTGCAGTGGCACATGCCTATAATCCCAGCACTTTGGGAGGCTGAGGTGGGTAGATCACCTGAGGTCAGGAGGTAGAGAACAGCCTGACCAACATATAGTGAAACTTTGTCTCTACTGAAAAACACAAAATTTAGGTGGGACGCAGTGGCTCACACCTATAATCCCAGCACTTTGGGAGGCTGAGGCGGGCAGATTGTCTGAGGTCAGCAGTTTAAGACTAGTCTGGCCAACGTGGTGAAACCCCGTCTCTACTTAAAATGTAAGAAAACTGGCTGGGCGTGGTGGCTCATACCTGTAATCCTAGCACTTTGGGAGGCCGAGACGGGCGGATCGCAAGGTCAAGAGATCAAGACCATCCTGGCCAATATGGTGAAACCCCGTCTCTACTAAAAATACAAAAATTAGCTGAGCATGGTGGCGTGTGCCTGTGGTCACAGCTACGTGGGAGGCTGAGGGAGGAGAATCGATTGAACCCGGGACACAGAGGTTGCAGTGAGCCAAGATTGCATCACTGCACTGCAGCCTGGTGAGAAAGCGAGACTCTGTCTCAAAAAAAAAAAAGAAAGAAAAGAAAATCAGCCGGGTGTGGTGGCATGTGCCTGTAATCCCAGCTACTCGGGAGGCTGAGGCAGAGGAATTGCTTGAACCAGGGAAGTGGAGGTTGCAGTGAGCCGAGATCGTGCCATGGTACTCCAGCCTGGGCAACAGGAGACTCTGTCTCAAGAAAAAAGAAATTAGTTGGGCATGGCACATGCCTATAGTCCTGGCTACTTGGGAAACTGAGGCAGGAGAACTGCTTGAACCTGGAAGGCAGAGGTTGCAGTGAGCCGAGATTGCCCCATTCTACTCCAGCCTGGGTGACAGAGTGAGACTCCCGTCTCTCAAAAAAAGTAAATAAAATAAAATAAATAAATAAAATTTAAAAACACAAAAAAATCAAACTATATAAAATCAATCAACCAACACCCATTCTGTTTAAGGTTCCAAAAGGCAATAGCTGGACCCGGCTGCAGAGCACACTCCCACCTCACCTCTGTCTCAAAAGAACATCCCCTACGTGCGGTTCTCCTTAAAAAACTTTAATGTCTGGGTTGGGAAGGCAGGTAGAGCGAGTAGAGGCAGCTGCTAGAGGCTGGTTGCTGACTCCAGGCCACGTTCCAGGAAATATCGGTGGGAAGTACGGGGACGGGCTTGGGACCCTTCATTGAGGAAGTAGGATGTGATCTTCCTGAGTCCCTCCTGATCCTCGGGTGTTGAGTCCTCCCTGTGGGAGAGAGGTGATAACAGTGACCACTTCCATGGGGAGCAACCCTCTCAGGCAGGGCTGAACCCTGGCCTCCCTCTTTCCTTCCCTATAGCACCCCCAGGACATCCATGACACCCACCATATAACATCTTCCGCCTCTTTCTCCAGGATGGTCTGAGCTGTGCGCCAGCTGAACCGGACAAACTGGGGAAAGCCGAACACAGGCTCCACGTGCTCCTTCAACCACGCTTTTGTCTTGGGATCTGGGGTAGGGTGGGCAATGGTGACAGTCCATAACATTCAAGCTCCTTGTCACTCTTTTTTTTTTCTTTGAGATGGAGTCTCACTCTGTCCCCAAGCTGGAGTGCAGTGGCGCCATCTCAGCTCACTGCAACTTCCGCCTCCCGGGTTCAAGCAATTCTCCCGCCTCAGCCTCCCAAGTAGCTGGGATTACAGGTACACGCCACTGTGCCCAGCAAAATTTTGTATTTTTAGTGGTGATGAGGTTTCACCATGTTGGCCAGGATGGTCTCAATCGCTTGACCTCGTGATCTAACCACCTCGGCCTCCCAAAGTGCTGGGATTACAGGCGTGAGTCACCACGCCTGGCCTCCTTGCCACTCTTCTAAGGCTTCCTCCGGAGTACCTGGGGCACCTCCTATTGTCTGAGGCACCTTCTTGCCACAGGACCTTTACCTGGCCAAGAACTGCTCAAAGGGCAGTGCAGGGAGAGTGCCTCTGAGACATCTCCTTGACCTCCAAGAACAAGTGATTAAACATTTTTATTTTATTTATTTATTTATTGTTTGAGATGGAGTCTTGCTCTGTCGCCCAGGCTGGAGTGCAGTGGTGTGATCTCAACTCACTGCAACCTCCGCCTTCCAGGTTCAAGTGATTCTCCTGCCTCAGCCTCCCAAGTAGCTGGGACTACAGGTGTGCACCACCACACCTGGCTAATTTTTGTATCTTTTGTAGAGATGGGGTTTTGCCATATTGCCCAGGCTGGTCTTGAATTCCTGAGTTCACATGATCTACCTGCCTCTATCTCTTAAAATGCTAGGATTACAGGCATGAGCCACCTCGCCCAGCCTGTCATTAAACATTATTATTGTTAGTATTTTGAGACGGAGTTTCGCTCGTTTCCCAGGCTGAAGTGCAATCGTGTGATCTCAGCTCACTGCAACCTCCACCTCCCAGGTTCAAGCAATTCTCCTGCCTCAGCCTCCCGAGTTGCTGGGATTATGGGCGTGTGCCACCATGTCCAGCTAATTTTGTATTTTTAGTAGAGATGGGGTTTCACCATGTTGGTCAGGCTGGTCTTGAACTCCTGATCTCAAGGGATCTACCCGCCTCAGCCTCCCAAAGTGCTGGGATTACAGGTGTGAGCCACCATGCCTGGCTAACATTATTTTTTTTTGACATGAGCTCTCACCTTGTCACTCAGGCTGGAGTGCAGTGACATAATCATAGCTCACTGCAGCCTCAAACTCCTGGGCTCAAGCAACCCACCCACCTTAGCCTGCGTAGCTGGGACTGCAGGTGGGCACCACTATAACCCGCTAATTTTTTAAATTTTTTATAGAGATGGGGATCTCGCTATGTTGCCCAGGTTGGTCTTGAACTCAAGGATTCAAGCGGTTCTCCTACCTCAGTTTCCTAAAGTGCTGTGATTACAGGCATGAGCCACCACGCCTGGTCCCCTTCCCCTTAACAAAGGGGCAGATGCCCACCGTGGGTCTCAGTTCATCACTGGGGCTCCAGAGAGACAGTAAAGTGGGAAGCGGGGAAGACAGCAGCAATCCTATGGCCTGGAACCCAGCTCCGTCACTCACTGGCTGTGTGGCCATGAACAAATGGCACCACTGTCTAACACTGGGCCTCTTTCACTGTGGAGTAGGGTGACCAGAACAATTTAGAAAACCTCCAGCCAGGCACAGTAGTTCACACCTGTAATCCTAGCTGTTTGGAAGTCCAAGGCAGGAGGATCACTTAAGCCCAGGAGTTCAAGACCAGGCTGGGCAACATAGGGAGATCCCATCTCTTTAAAAAAATAAGGAAAAAAGGGCCAGGGGTGGTGGCTTATGGCTGTAATCCCAGCACTTTGACAGACCAAGGTGGGAGGACTGCCTGACTCCAGGAGTTTGATACCAGCCTGGGCAACATGACAAGAACCCATTTTTATAAAAACAAAAATAGGCTGGGCGCGGTGGCTCACGCCTGTAATCCCAGCACTTTGGGAGGCTGAGTCGGGCAGATCACCTGAGGTCGGGAGTTCAAGACCAGCCTGACCAACCTGGAGAAACCTCGTCTCTACTAAAAATACAAAATTAGCCGGGCGTGGTGGCGCGTGCCTGTAATCCCAGCTACTCGCGAGGCTGACGCAGGAGAATCATTTGAAGCCAGGAGGTGGAGGTTGCGGTGAGATCGCACCATTGCACTCCAGCCTGGGCAGCAAGAGCAAAACTCTGTCTCAAAAAATAAATAAAAATAAAAAATAGAAACAAAAAATAAGCAAAATAAAACGATAAACGACAGAAAGGAAGAAAAGAAAACCTCAGAAGTGTGCTCAGCTCTGGCCATTTCAACATTAGTACCATGGTCACTGTCTGCTCACCATTGGGGTAGCCTGAGCCATAATCAGTATCCGAGTCCTGCAGTTTCTCCACGAACTTCCATTTCTTCACGGCCTGGTCCCGGGCCACCTGTGGGCAAGACAGCCACCTGGAATCTCCCTCCTCCCCCGTGGTGGCCGTGCCTGGCCCTTATATAGTGGGATGCTGGAAGCCGGCCATGGCTAGTAGGGTACTGACCTTGGCACAGATGCTGGCAGCACTAACCACTGGGTAGAGGGCATCTGCTTTGGCCTTGACCGTCACCTCAATCCCGGGAAAACTTTGCTGCAGCCGCGCCTGGTATGTCTCTGGCATCCCTACAGTGTCCACAAACACCTGCCACGGCAACAGACACATATTAATTGAACAAACAATGTACCAATGCTCTAGCCTCACAGCCCTGGCACGTTCTTCCTGCTACCCAGAATCCTCTTCTCACAGCCCGTCCCCAGGCTGGATCAATCAGGGATTTCAACTCAAACATCTCCTCCCAGGCCAGGCAACGTTGTTCACGCTTGTGATCCCAGCACTTTGGGAGGTTGAGGCGGGAGGATTGCCCTGGGAGTTTGAGACCAGGCTTGGCAACACAGTGAGACCCCATCTTTACAAAAACATAAAATAAATACAATAAAATAAAACAAAGAAAAAAAAATCACCTCCTGAAGAGGCTTCCTCTGATCATGCTGCATCTGCTCTACACTTATTTAGCACCTACTGCATGCCAGATACTGTTCTAGGAACTGAGGTGGCAGAAAACACTAGAAAAAAAAGTGGTAGGGCCAATACAAAAAAAAAAGCCGCGGCGACGGTGGCGCGGCGGCTGTATCCCAGCTACTCGGGAGGCTGAGGCAGGAGAATGGCGGGAACCGGGAGGGCCGGAGCTTGCAGTGACGCCGAGATCCGGTCAACTGCGCCCCAGCCTGGCGACAAGAGCAAGACATCCCGTCTCAAAAAAAAAAAAAAAAAAAAAAAAAAAAGTGGTAAGTGCGTTGGCACACGCTCTGTAATCCCAAGCACATTGTAGGCAGCCAAAGCGGGAGGGATCGCTTGGAGGCAGGTGTTCGAGACCAAACTGGAAACCAACATATGGAGACCATGTTACCTGAACAAAACATAAAAAATTAGCTAGGTGTCAGTGGCTGAATAACGCTTGAAGGAGGTGAAACGAACTAAACCTGCAGAAGATCTGGCGGAGAGGGCTCTAGGTGTTGAGAACAGCCAGCACAAAGGCCCTGAGCTGGGACCAGGTCCCATGATGGCTGGCCAGCTTGACACGGGGGCACTGACTACAGCACCGCGAAAGAGAGGGCGGTCAAGCAGCTGCTGGGAGAAAGTGGTACTCCACAGCAACTGTTTTCAGAAATCCACCTTATTTTTTGTTTACCAGCTAAACATTTGCTG